GAGCGGTCTACTCCAACAAAGACATCTTCCTCCTGGATGATCCTCTCTCTGCTGTTGACGCTCATGTGGGGAAACACATTTTTGAAGAATGCATTAAAAAGGAGCTTCAAGGAAAATCTGTTATTCTTGTTTCACACCAACTCCAGGTAGGAGCGGGAAAACGGTTTCATTCTTTAGCTGAACACTATCTCGTTGTACCAGGATGAGCTGAGAGTTTGGTGTTTGAAGTAATTAGCGACTCTCAGAAAGTCTGACTCAACCTTACACCCTCATTTGTTTTGATGAGCTTTAGTCAGGAATCTACACAAAGCTTTATAAATGAGGCCCCAGGTCCTTGTTTAACCTCCTGAGTCCCAATCATTTGTTAGTTAGCTTTTTTAAATTATCCTTGAGTTCACAAACAAACAAACCAACAAGCAAACAAACAACATCTCTACTAAAGATAAGAGCCTCTAAAGTTGTTATAAAAGTGATAACACTCCACTCTTAGACTGTGCGAAGGGCTGAGCTTAGGCCTGTTGTTTCTTTGGTTTTCTAGTATTTGGAGTTCTGTGATGACATCCTGGTTCTTGAAGATGGAGAGGTCCTGGAGGCTGGAGATCACCAGACACTGATGAAGGCAGATGGACGCTATGCCCAGCTGATCCGGAACTACCAAATGGAACAATCCAAAGTAAGACATTCCTTTTATATAGTCTTCAATAATTTAAAGCTCAAAAGCATTAAATAAAGGTTTTGCTATTAACTAGGAACAAAGCATTCCTTAAGCTGAGTCACTGTAACCAGAACAAGGTGTAACTTTCTTTTCATTTTTAGACTCAGAAAGAGGAGGAGGAGGTGCCACCTAATGATGCTGCTGAGACGAAAGAGCTCAGGCAGCGTACCGACAGCGGCATAGAGAACCCCGGTATGAAAACAAGGAAGAAAAATATTTGTTTTATGAGAGAAATGTTGATTCCTCTTTGAAAAATAGCAGGACACAGGAAAACAGTTTGTGATGCTTTGTTGCAGAGACTTGAAAGAATAAATGTTTGGAAGCTAGAACAATCACAGTTATGTCACAGATAGAGACTTGTTTTTGACATGACCTAGTGTCTCATTGTGCTCTTGGTAGCAACAGCTAAACTGTCACCAAGAGACTGTCAAAGCCAAACCAGCAGTTATAAACTGAAATGCTGCAAGATAAGAGTAAAAGCAGCAACAATAGTTTACTAAAACATGTAGCTTTGTCTGCTGCACGATCTGACAGGCCTGGTTACATTAGTGAGAATATTGTTTGATGAAATTAACTCCATTTGCATCTTTGTGCATTATAATAATAACACCTCCTCGTTTCAGCTTTTGACATGTCAGATGAAACGGAGGATGGGACAACAGCCGACCAACCTCAGAAACGTGAGTCTGAAAAATAAAGTCAGTTCATGGTTGGTGCTGGGTCCAGATGTTTCATTCCTGGCACTGAGATCAGGACACATTGTTAGTGGCCTGTACAAACCTAGAGACTACAGGGGCCTCATTTATCAAGCTTGCTTACGCACAAAACGAGGTCAGGAAACTGCGTAAGCAACTTTCCACGCAAACTTTGGGATTTATGAAAGAAAATGTTGCAGAAAAATGTGCGCAACTTTAAGCTGACTAAGGACCTGGCTTACGCACATTTTGGACACGGAGAGCACCTGCAGTGCTGCTGCTGAGAAGGATAAGATTTTGAAATCCTGCAGCATTACCGCTTGTACCGCTTCATTTTCACACAGAACAAGATCCACAAGGCACTTTGCATTGACCATTTATGGCAGAAAGTGGGCGTGGTGAGGGCGGGATCAAAAAACAGCTGAGCACATTTCTAGAAAGTTTCTGATTTATGAAGCGGAGATTGCGTGCAGCTGTGCGTACTCAGTGTTTGCTAGATCACAAACCTACATGGCGTAAGTACTTTTTTTTTTGCTGAGCTTGAGTACGGTTTTAGTAAGGATTCTACGCAACGTATGGTAAATGAGACCCCTGCTCTCTTAGTAATTAATTTTTACAGCATAAAGATTAACTATAAATCATGTTACAATAAGGACATCATTTCATTTAGGGAAATTATACAGAAATAAATTTTCTGGTTTACAGAGGTAGTGCACATGTTTATTACTTAAAAGAAGTAGAAATGATCTTTTATAAAGCACCTCTCAAGATAAAAATCACAAGAACAAAATAAAATATAAAAATGAATAAACTGATTAAGAAATATAATATTAAAATAGGGGGAAAGCAAAATTTTACATTAAAAAATGTGAAGAAATAAATGCAAAAGAAAAAGTTTGTTATGGCCCGGGATCCCGAGAAAGACAGAATTGGTTAAAACTGAACAGGTGGTCACTCCAAAAGCCAGCTTGATCAGGCGAGTCTTCAGCTGCTTTTTAAAGGAGACCACTGAGTCCACTGATCTCAGGCTCAGGGGGAGAGAGGTCCAGAGTCTGGGGGCCATAGCAGCAGATGATGTCACCTTTGGTCTTTAGCCTGGTGCTGCATAACCAGTAGGCTTTGGTCACTGGACCTCAGGGGCCTGCTGGGGGTGTAGGGACTAAGAAGATCACCAATGTAAGATGGTGCTTGTCCATGTAAGGCCCTTTAGACCAGAACCAGGATCTTGAAATGAACCCTGAAGTTGACTGGCAGCCAGTGAAGCTGGAGGAGAAGCGGGGTGATGTGGGTGTATTTGGAGGACTTGGTCAGAATCCGAGCACAGGCATTCTGAACCACCTGTAGACGGTTCAGGGAGGTTCTGCTCAGACACGTGAAAAGAGAGTTACAGTAGTCTAACCCCAGTTTCACACTAGAAGCATTAGCGGTGCGGAACGGCAGCGGAACATCACTGCTTCAAATATAATCCATTATAGTCTATAGAGTGTTTCAATCAGTTGAAACACTCTATAGGCTCTATAGGCAGGCCTCTATTTCTATTTGAGCAAAATGAACTAATGGTTCGCTGGAGTTTTTGACAATTAAAATTGCGCCCACATTTTCAAAGTTAAACACATTTCTTTTAACAACGGTAGTTTCTGCTTCAGCCCTCTCCCCCCTCCCTCTGCGCAGCGGCCGCAAACTCACTGATGCGCCTGCAGCCTCTCGGAGTTCCTGCTGCTCTAAACATTAAAATAATTATTTCATTTTCTGTTCCTCACTTCTGATTACCTTCAATGGTGTCTGTTTGTTGCAACCACCAGGTACAAAAACTAACTTGTTTTTATTTGACTATTTTTCTGTCCTGTCTGTTTATTATCTTCCTGCGTCTCCTCTCAATCCTAAAGAGAAACTGCTACCTGGGTTCATATATATTCATCTTATGAGTTACCTTTGAACTGCAGTTCTAAGAGATCTACCGACCGCAAATACAGCGGAGTGCTCGCTGCTTGCCGGCCTCATCAGTGAGGTGCGTCACCGAGGACAAAACAGGTGATGCGCCCCGCTCCACAGCAGCGAAACGCATCAGGCACAAATAAAAGACAGAAAACATAAAAGGAAATGAGCCGACACGAACGATCGCGTGTTAAATTAGTTTTTGAGGTGGCGACAGCTGATTTGATAATGTTACTGTGGCCATGCTCAGGACGCAGATGTCTGGAGCGCGTCAACAATCAGAGCTTTGCATGCGCAAGCTGGTCAAGGTTAGGATGGGGGTGAGGGGAATGTTAAATTGCAAGAGGGTAAAGGTCACAATTTGGTTAAATGTCCGTTTTACGGCGGGTGTCAGTGCCGACGCTCTGGCACAGCGCGTTGCCTCCCGACTTGCAGGAGCTTGTCACCTGCTGACAGCAGGCTGCTGTCTTTTCCGTGGACTGCATCTTGCCGGTCATTATCACGTGACAGCAACTAGTCGATGACAGGCATAAAAAGTCACTATAGAGCGGTGAAGTCGACTAGTGACTAGTTCATACAACCCCTACTGCTCCCCAGAGTGTTCTGCAGCATAATCAGCACGTTCTCTTTGAACTTGATATCAAATTTTCGCCTCCTCTTCGTCTCCGCACGGTTAAAGTTACCCTCGCGGTCTATCACTGGCAAATCAAAAGTGAGACGGGTGACACAACCGCCCCCGTACTTGCTTGTTACCACATTCCACCCGGACACAATAAAAAACCGGCCATTATTCACCTCCGCCGACTCCGACACCGGCCAAATATGAAACCCGGCAGTAAATTAAATACAGGCTAATATTAGAGGATTTACGGTATGTTTTTATTTTGAATGGAGCGGACCCCAGGAAGAATAGTCTGCAGTATGGTGAAGACTAATGGGGATCCTTAAATAAACAAATAAACCCCCACCCCACCTCCCGGTCTCACATTTGGCAGCATAGAGAGGAGTCCGCGAGCAGAGTTATTGTAAGTTCACATATTACGTTTTTCAGTTTTTGTAATTGAAGAAACATAAAAAATAATTTGCAAAACAGGACAGAGTGGTTATTATAGCGCTAAGTTCACATTTTCTTTACAACCCCCCCCCCCCCCCCCCCCAAACAGCTGTTCTGTTTATGGCAGAACAGTCTGCACTTAGCAGGGAAGAATATTTGCTGCTAAAGGAAATAGCCAATTGTAGTAGAGCCCTTCTAGCCAATCAGAGGCGAGAAAGGCGAGATCTTCCTAGGACATCCTATGATCCCAAATGCCCCTCGGGGTGAAAAGGACCTCTTTGAAGGTCTCGAGTAAACCGTTCTGCTGCCATTTTGTGCCGCTGATGCTTCCAGTGTGAAACAGGAGTAATCATGAGGAGATGAAGGTGTGGAAAACAGTCTCAAGGTCATAGCGGGACAGAATGGGAATCAGCATAGCAATTATCCTGGGATGGAAGAAGGAAGAGCGAACAAGAGAACTGACATGAGAATCCAGGGTGAGAGCTGGGTCAAAGGTCACACCAAGATTCCTGACAGAGGGTTTGCTGTGAGAAGCAAGCTGAAAGGTTACAAAGGACCTCTGGTGGTCAGAAGAAGTAACAAGAAAAATTCAATGTAAATTTAAAAATCAAATAAACCTAAAAATCTTTGATCTTTCCGTAAATACCTTATTATTTAATCCTGTTTAGCTGCTGCAAAGTCTGGTGATCAGCTGGTTAGTCAGGAGTCATCCACAGAGGGATCCGTGTCCTGGAGAGTCTACCACCACTACTGCAAGGCAGCTGGAGGTATGAGACACACACACACTCACACACACACACACACACACACACACACACACACACACACACACACACACACACACACACACACACACACACACTCACTCACTCACTCACTCACTCACTCACTCACAGTCACTCTCACACAATCTCTCTCTCACTAACTGACTCACTCACACATTCACTCACTCACCCATTCACTCACTCACACATTCACTCACTCACTGACTCACGTACACATACCTACACACACGTGCACACACACACACACATGAACAAATACACACACACACACACGCACATGAACAAATACACACACACACGCACGCACACACACACACACACATGAACAAATACACACACACACACACGCACATGAACAAATACACACACACACGCACGCACACACACACACGTACACACACACACACACACACACATGAACAAACACACACACACACACACACACACGCACGCACACACACACACGCACACACACACACACACACACACACACACACACACACACACACACACACACACACACACACACACACACACACACACACATGAACAAATACACACACGCACATGAACAAACACACACACACACACACACATGAACAAATACACACACGCACATGAACAAACACACACACACACACACACACATGAACAAATACACACACACACACACACACACACACACACACACACACACACACACGCACACACCTCTTGGTTGGTTCAGGTTTGTGTACCTGTGTTGCTGCAGGCTACATTGTGACCTTCCTCACCATCCTGAACATAGTCCTGATGATGGGCTCCACGGCTTTCAGCAGCTGGTGGCTCAGCCACTGGCTGGAGCAGGGTGACGGGGTGAGATCTTTGTTTTCTTACTGACAAAAGCTACTCAGCTGCTTTTTATAAATAAACGTTAGTCTTCTGTGAAATTCAGCCATAAGGAAGCCGTTTGTTATCTTTCACAGTGAAAAACTCTAAGATGCTGGCCCAGTCTAATTCTAATCTTATAAATTAGAAGACCTTATGGTCCGTTAAATTCAACCTTCCTGCTGCTATTTGCTGAGTAGTAATTCATGTTTTTGCTGTCAAAGATAAAGATTCAAGGTCAGTCTCTTCAAAGAACAAAATGTGAATACCACAAGGCTCCATTCTAGGATGACTGCTTTGTAGCTCTTGTAGTTGCTGTTCAGATGTTTGAAGATGATGCTATCCTTTATGTATGTACAAAGACTACATCAGGCTGCAGAGATAGTACAATGCCATTCGGACTTTTTGTTTAAAGGTTCTATATTTCCTTCTTTCATTCTCCATCAAAGAATTCGTCTTCAAATGCAGGCGACGTCTCACAAAACCCAAGGCTGTACTTCTACCAATTGATTTATGGAGTGATGGTCCTTGTCATGGTTGTACTTGCAGTGATCAAGTGCTTCTTTTACACTCACGTCACACTGAGAGCTGCTTGCAAACTCCACAACCGCATGTTCAGGAAGGTACTGTGGAACATCTGAACTTTGGCAACTGCTGTTCATTAATCCTGTCTAAGTGAACCTACAAAGGTAACTGTGGCCCCCTAACGGCAAATACAGATTTGTTTTTTATTTTATTTTATTTACAGATTCTTGCCAGTCCGATGAGCTTCTTTGACACAACACCAACAGGACGCATTCTTAACCGCTTTGCCAAAGATCAGGAAGAAGTGGACACTGTGCTCCCTCTCCACATGGACCCTTTCTTGCAGTTTTGTCTTCTCGTCACCTTCACTATTATCATCATCTCCTCTGTCTTTCCTGCGATGTTGGTAGCTGTTATTATTATGGGAGCCTTGTTTGCCCTCATCCTCTTGTAAGTGAACAGCTGTGAGATCTGAACCTAATTAGAGTAGATTCATTAGATTTTGATGTTTTAATGGGATTTCTATTCAGTGTATTTCAGAAAAGCATCCGTCAGATGAAGAAGATGGAGAACATCAGTCGTTCTCCATGCATCTCCCTCACCACCTCCACCCTGCAGGGCCTCAGCACCATCCATGCCTACAACATCAGAGACAACCACATAAAGCTGTAAGATCCTTTCCATTAATCCGGTGTGGCCTCTAATAGCGCTTACACATTAGCGTCGGTACGGTCCCTCACGGTAACTTATGGGACCAGAATGTGGTTTCACACACGGGTCAGATGTGCGTTTTTGGTTCTGAGGCGACTCTTTTTTTCAGCTCTTCTCCCCAGTGGCCAGACTGGGACCGAGGTGGCACTACAGACTGGTTGGCTGGCTGAAATTACGCCTCCGATTGGCGAGTAGATTGAGCCAGCGAGGGGTTCCCACATGCACGATTCATTTTCATGCTGGATGCTGTTTAGTAAACTTGTCTGTCTTTAGCACGGAGCTGCCAATCAGCGGGAGAAGAGAGTGAGCTCAGTGTGTGTGTGTGTGTGTGTGTGTGTGTGTGTGTGTGTGTGTGTGTGTGTGTGTGTGTGTGGCCTGCAGCAGCGGAGCACAAGATTATGAGAATACACCGCAAAGTAATGAAAAAACGTGGTTCAGAGTCTCCAAAAGCAACACATCTCATGCCCGACTTTGTTTACCTTATAGGTCACCCTTTACTGTACCGACACTACAGAAGAACTTCCTTCAGTCCTTCACAATAAGAGTCTCAAACACGCAAATGTAACTGAAATCATTTTTTAAGGAATCTCACTTTGAGTGTGTGTATGTCCCCATTTGCATAAATATTTATTAAATATTTAAACAATGAACTAATTGATTAATCATGTGTAATGATATGGTCACCCCAATATCATTGCGCATGTGTTCATTATGCCTATGGACTATGGAACTAGGATTGGGACAATATTACATGTAACTTGTAACATGTTTTGTAACTGTAACTTTTGTTTTATAGCATGCAATTCTCGTTTTGTAACACGCAAATCTCATGTGCTTGAGCACCTGCCCCTTTTGTTCGAAGTGCCCAAAGTGCCCTTTTTCCAGTATTTCGTCAGATTTTACCGTCCAAAACTGTCATACTGTGATACATATCAGGCACTAGGACCATGCGGAGGCAGCCGCCTCCAGCTGAAGCCTATTTCCCCTTAGATCCGTTCATTTGAACTAGTTTACTCAAGTCATTTTGAAGTTCCTGTTAAGTAATAAATGTAAAGAAAATTCAAATCCGTTTTATTTTTCATTTAAGCTGCAGTTTTACAGACTAGAATAAACATAAATGCTAAATACAAACCAGATACTGAAAGCTGAGGTTGTTCTGAAAAGAGAAGCAGAGTTACAAACATTTGCACTTTTAATTACAATTTTAAAGCCATAAAACAAAAATCAAACACCAGCTATATCTATGGTCATGAGAGGGTTAAACGTGATACATTTTCTACCTCCCACAAAGAGATGGTAAACATGAATGTGAGCATAAATATATATGTTTTATTACTTTATTATGTATTTTTTATTATTGACTATTAGGCAACTGGACTTCTTTGGTTTCTTGAAGACGTTTCACTTCGCATCCGAGGAGCTTTGTGGATTCTAACTGGAATATGGGAGAGTCAAGTTTATCAGCTGTAGCTGTCTGTTGTTGTTTAATGAGCAGAAACTACTCTGAGTACCCCGCCTCTCTACCCCCTGATGAGTCGTCGGCCTCTGTTGAGAGGGAGTCCTGTTGATTAGATGCAGGAAAAAATGAGATTCAAAACTGCATTATGGGTGCTGGAAAGGTGAAATCTAAGCCCCTCCCCTATGCAAAGTGGCTTTTCCACATTTGACGGTTCAGAGGATCTTTCATGAATGTAAATTCAAAGAGTCGGAGTACCCGGCCCGGAGGGTTACCGGGGTCCCGCCCTGGAGCCAGGCCTGGGGTTGAGGCCCATGAGCGAGCGCCTGGTGGCCGGGCTTTCGCCCATGGGTCCCGGCCGGGCCCAGCCCGAACCGGATACATGGGCTCATCCAACTGTGGAACCATCACCCGCAGGAGGAACATGAAGGGGCTGGTGCAGTGTGGATCGGGTGGCAGACCGAGGCGGGAGCCTTGGTGGTCCGATCCCTGGACAAGGAAATTGGTTTTTAGGACATGGAATGTCACCTCGCTGGCAGGGAAGGAGCAGGAGCTTGTGGCAGAGATTGAGCGGTACCGGCTAGATATAGCCAGACTCACCTCGACACATAGCATTGGCTCTGGAACCCAAGTCCTTGAGAGGGGTTGGACACTCTCCTTTTTGGAGTTGCTCTGGGTGAGAGGCAGAGGGCTGGGGTTGGCTTTTTGTTAGCCCCAAGACTCTCTGCCTGTGTGTTGGGGTTTACCCTGGGGGACGAGAGGGTAGCTTCCCTGCGCCTATGGGTCGGGGAACGGGTCCTGACTGTTGTTTGTGCTTATGGGCCAAATATCAGTTCAGAGTACCCACCCTTTTTGGAGTCCCTGGGACGAGTGCTCCATCAGGGGACTCCATTGTCCTGCTGGGGGACTTCAATACTCACGTGGGCAATGACAGCTTGACCTGGAGGGGTGTGATTGGGAGGAACGGCCTGCCTGGTCTGAATTCGAGTGGTGTTTCGTTATTGGACTTCTGTGCAAGCCGCAGTTTGGCCATAACGAACACCATGTTCGAACATAAGGATGCCCACCGGTACACTTGGCACCAGGGCAGCTCAGGTCGCGGGTCGATGATAGACTTTGTAGTCGTATCATCTGACCTGCGGCCGTATGTTTTGGACACCCGAGTGAAGGTAGTATGGGGTGGGTGGCCTTTTGTTAAGGGCCATTCAGTCCCTTTACCAGAGGAGCGTGAGTTTGGTCTGCATAGCCAGTAGTAAGTCGGACCTGTTCCCGGTGAGGGTTGGACTCCGCCAGTGCTGCCCTTTGTCACCGGTTCTATTCATTTTCTTTATGGACAGAATTTCTAGGCACAGCCGTGGTGTGGAATGTGTCAAGTTTGGTGGCAGGAGAATCCCGTCTCTGCTTTTTGCGGATGATGTGATCATCCTAGCTTCATCCAGCTCTAACCTTCAGCTCTTGCTGGGTAGGTTCACAGCACCTCCAAATCTGAGACCATGGTTCTCGGCCGGAAAAGGGTGGCTTGCCAACTCCGGGTCGGGGGAGAGGTCCTACCTCAAGTGGAGGAGTTTAAGTATCTCGGGGTCTTGTTCACGATGAGGGTAGGAGGGATCGGGAGATTGACAGGCAGATTGGTTCAGCATCTGCAGTGATGCGGACGCTGAGCCAATCTGTCGTGGTGAAGAGGGAGCTGAGCCAGAAAGCCAGGCTCTCGATTTACCGGTCGATCTACGTCCCAATCCTCACCTATGGTCATGAGCTTTGGGTAATGACCGAAAGAACGAGATCGCGGATACAAGCTGCCGAAATGAGTTTCCTCCGTAGGGTGGCCGGGCTCAGTCTTAGAGATGGGGTGAGGAGCTCGGACATTCGGGAGGGACTCGGAGTAGAACCGCTGCTCCTCCGGATCGAATGGAGTCAGTTGAGGTGGTTTGGGCATCTGGTCAGGATGCCTCCTGGACGCCTCTCTGGGGAGGTGTTTCGGGCATGTCCTGCCGGCAGGAGGCCCCCAGGTCGACCCAGGACACGTTGGAGAAGTTACATCTCCAATCTGGTCCGGGAACGCCTTGGGGTCCTGCTGGAGGAGCTGGTGGAGGTGGCCGGAGAGAGGACGGCCTGGAGCTTCCTAGTTGGGATGCTGCCCCCGCGACCCAGACCCGGATAAGTGGAGGAAGACGACGACGACATAAATAGCTTCAGTTATTTAGTTCATTTAGTTTCCCCAGCCTAAAGATATGGGGTCTCATTTATCAAACATTGAGTAGAATCCTTACTAAAACCGTACTTAAGCTCAGCCAAAAAAATTTACTTACGCCAAGCAGGTTTGTGATCTATCAAACATGGAGTACGCACAGCTGCACGCAATCTTCGCTTCATAAATCAGAAACTATCTAGAAAGGTTCTCAGCTGCATTTTAGTCAATCCCACCACACCCACTAACTGCCATAGTCAATGCAAAGTGCCTTGTGGACCTCATGCATATACATAAGCCGGCTCTTGCAGAGCTCCGCCAATGACGATGGCGACCGTAGATCAAGGTAGATCAAGGAAGCTCAATTTCCCAGAAGCAGAAATTGAGGTACCTGTGGGTGAGGTGGAGAAATGAAAGGAAGTGCTTTTGCAAAACAAATAAGAGAAAATCCACGGAGTGGCACAGCGTTGCTGAAGCCGTCAATGTTGTGAATTCTTCAGAGAGATCTGTGGCGGATGTAAAAAAAAAAAGGTCCAATCAGGATTCGATCCCCAGACTCCCAGGTGAAAGTCACGCACGCTAACCAGTCACCCAAACAGAGATCTCCCCTGTTTAAGTAGCCAGGGCGCATGATCAATCGGGTCACAGTGACAGGACACACACACTGTCACAGACGCATGGCATTCTGTCTCAATCTGTCCCCCTGCTGATATTCTGCATTCCGTATTCTGCGCTTCAGTCTGTGTGTGTGTGTGTGTGTGTGTGTGTGTGTGTGTGTGTGTGTGTGTGCGCGCACGCGTGTGGGGGGTCTTGTTCTGTGTGAACACGAAGCAGGACAAGTGATAATGCTGCAGGATTTCATAATTTTATCCTTCTCAGCAGCAGCACTGCAGGTGCTCTCCATGTCCAACATGTGCGTAAGCAAGATCCTTAGTCAACTTAAAGTTGAGCACATTTTTCCGCTAAGTTTTCTTTCATAAATCCCAAAGTTTGCGTGGAAAGTTGCTTACGCAGTTTTCCGACCCCGTTATGTGCGTAAGCAAGCTTGATAAATGAGGCCCTTGGACAGTCCTCACTACACTGGGCTGCATAAACGACATCACTGAGCTTCTGTTTGGGTGTTTTGTCTTTAGGATGGACCAGGTTCTGTCTGAGGGTGTTGTTGGGTTTAAAGTTTACCGGGATGTTGTGTTTGGAGAAGATTCTTCTAAGTTTCTCTGAGACTCCTGCCACGTATGTGATGATGGTGCCTTTGTGTAAAGGATGTTGTTGTTAGGTTGGTAGCAGAGCTCTCATGTTTAGTGTTAAGTTCA